AATGACAGATGCAGGTGAGGGGAAGGAAGGCAACAAACCACACTGCCATGTGTGTACCTATGCAACAATCTTGCATGTCCTTCATATGTACCCCAAAACCTAAAATGCAGTTAAAAAAAAGAAAAAAAAAAGAAAGCTGAGATAGTCAATAGCGAGGCCTCTTGTGCCAGTTAGCCAAGTTGTGGTGCAAAGGATGTTCTTGAAGGAAAAATAAAAGTGCTACTACAGTAAACACATGAATTATAAGAAAGCAACACAGCTTTACTGCTGATATGAAGAAAGTTTTAGTGGTCTGGATCGAAGATCAAACCAGCCACAACATTCCCTTAAGCCAAAGCCTAATCCAAAGAAAGGCTCTAACTCTTCCTCTATTCTGTGAAAGGTGAGAGAGCTGATGAAGCTACAGAAGAAAAGTTGGTTCATGAGATTGAAGGAAAGCTGCTCTCTCCATGACATAAAAGTGAAAGGTAAAGCAGCAAGTGCTGATGTAGAAGGTGCAGAAAGTTATCCAAGAGCCTGGCGTCTGTAGCTAAGATAAAGGATGAAGGTGGGCTGGCTGCAGTGGTTCATGTCTGTCAACCCAGCACTTTGGAAGACCAAGATGGGAGGATTGCTTGAGTCCAGGAGTTCAAGACCAGCCTGGGCAACATAGTGAGACTCTGTCTCTACAAAAATTTTTTTTTTTAAAAAGGATGAAGGTGGCTGCACTATACAGATTTTCAGTGTTGATGAAACAGCATTCTATTGGAAGAAAAGGCCATCTAGGACTTCCATAGCTAGAGAGAAGTCAATGCCTGGGTTCAAAGAACAGGCTGATTCTCTTGTTAGGAGCTAATGCAACTGATGACCTTAAGTGGAAGCCAATGCTTATTTACCTTTCTGAAAATCCAGTGGTCTTTAGAAATTATGCTAAATCTACTCTGCCTGTGCTCTATAAATGCAACAACAAACCCTGGATGACAGCACATCTGTTTACAGCATGGTTTACTGAGTATCTTAATCCCACTGTTGATACCTGCTGCTCAGAAAAAAAACATTCCTTTGAAAATATTCCTGCCCATTTACAATGCACCTTGTCACCCAAGAGCTCTGATGGAGATGTACAAGGAGATTAATTTGTTTTCATGTCTGCTAACACAACATCCATTCTGCAGCTCACAGATCAAGGAGTAATTTTGATTTTCACATCTTATTATTTAGGAAATACATTTTGTAAGGCTATAGCTGCCATAGATAATGATTCCTCTGATGGATCTGGGGAAAGCCCATTGAAAACCTTGTGGAAAGGATTTACCATTCTAGATGCCATTAAGAACATTCCTGATTCTTGGGAGGAAGTCAAAGTATCAACATTAACAGGAGTTTGGAAGAAGTTGATTCCAGCCCTCCTGGGTGACTTTAAGGAATTTAAGACGTTAGTGGAGGAAGTCACTGCAGATATGGTAGAAATAGTAAGAAAACTAAAATTAGAAGTGAAACCTGAAGATGTGACTGAATTGCTGAAATCTCATGATAAAACTTGAATTGGGCTTAGTATGGTGGCTCACACCTGTAATCCCAGCACTTTGGGAAGCTGCAGCTGGTGGATCACTTGAGAGACCAGGAGTTCAAGACCAACCTGGCCAACATAGTGAAACCCCATCTCTGCTAAAAATACAAAAATTAGCCAGAAGTGGTGGGGCACACCTGTAATCCCAGCTACTTGAGAGGCTGAGGCATGAAAATCACTTGAACCCAGAAGGCAGAGGTTGCAGTGAGCCAAGATCATGCCAGTGCACTCCAGCCTGGGTGACAGAGCAAGACACTGTCTCCAAAACAAACCAACCAAAAACACACACACACACACACACACACACACACACACACACACACACACAGACACACACACACACACAAACCCCAACAACTAGAATGAATGAGGAGTTGCTTCTTATGGATGAAGCAATGAAAGAAGTTTCTTGATATAGAATCTACTCTGGTGATGATGCTATGGACATTGTTGAAATAGTAATACAAGGTTTGGAATATGACATAAACTGAATTCATAAAGCAGAATCTGGGCTTGAGAGTATTGTTTCCAATATTGAAAGAAGTTTTACTGTGGGTAAAATACTATCAAACGGCATCACAGGCTATGGGGAAATTTTCATGAAAGGAAGAGCCAATTGATTCAGTAAACTGCACTGTGGTGTTATTTTAATGAATTATCACAGTCACTCCAATCTTCAGCAGCCATCAGCCTGATCAGTCAGCAGCCATCAAGATCAAACAAGAATGTCTGCTAGCAAAAAGATAATGACTTGCTGAAGCCTTAGCATTTTTTAGCAATAAAGTTTTTGGGTTTTTTTGAAACAGGGGCTAGCTCTGTTATCCAGGCTGGAGTACACTGGCATGATCTCAGTTCATTGCAGCCTTGACCTTCCAGGCTCTAGTGATCCTCTCACCTCAGCCTCCTGAGTAGCTGGGACTATAGGCATATGCCACCACATCCAGCTACTTTTGTTTATTTTTTGTAGAGATGGTATCTCACTATGTTGCCTAGGCTGATCTCAAACTCCTAGTCTCAAGCAATCCTCCCTCCTCAGCCTCCCTAAGTGTCAGGATTACAGATGTGAGCCACTGCACCTGGCCAACAAAGTATTTTTAAACTAAGGTATATATGTTGGTTTCTGCAGACACAATACTATTACACATTTAATAGATTACAGTATAATATAAACAAAACTTTTATATGCATTGGGAAACCAAAAACTTTGTGTGACCTGCTTTATTGTGATATTTGCCTTATTGTGATATTTGCATCATTGTTGTGGTCTGGAATCAAATCCGCAATATCTCAGAGGTGTGTTTGTATCTTAAAGTAGTGTTAACAAAGCAGAAATCACTTAGGACTAAAATAAACTTAGGAGATTTTCTTGGCTTTATGTGTCTACAATGCCAGTGACTTCTCATGCTGGAGTCCCTACCTGACTCAGAGAAAGAACATTTTTCAGGCTGGATGTGGTGGCTCACACCTGTAATCCCAGCACTTTGGGAGGCTGAGGCAGGCAGATCACTTGAAGTCATAAGTTTGAGACCACTCTGGCCAATATAGTGAAATTCATTCTGCTTAAAAATATACAAATTAACCAGGCATGGTGGCAGGTTTCTGTAATCCCAGCTAGTTGGGAGGCTGAGGCAGGAGAATCCTTTGAACCTGGGAGGGTGAGGTTGCAGTGAGTCAAAATCACACCACTGCACTCCAGCCTGGGTGACAGCATGAAACTCCATTTCAAAAAAAATTTTTAAACCCCCAAACCAAAACGTTTCCCAAGACTTTTTACACTCCAGTGGTTCCAAATCTTTTTTTGGTGTCTTCCATATTTCACTTCTTCTATTAACATGGCAGCCTGCATTAGAATTAAGCAAACAGTAAACCCTGAAATTGTAGTTGGGAAGGTCTTCTATGCTTACTGTGGCCAGAGGTATCATCTCAGCCCTGACTGATTATCTGCGATATGGAACAAATAAAGAAGGGTCCCCTTCTGCCATCCCAGGCCAGCACCAAAATTCCCTAAGCACCTACATTTTGTATATCAGACAAAAATGTGTGCCATCTCTATGCTTGCTTACAGGCGACTATAATTAGCTCCTTGAAAACAAGCAGAGGTCCTGTGAAGATGTAATCTAGAAAAACCCAGCAATTCTATATTTTGCCTTGAGAAGATAAAATCACATCCAGAGAATTCAGATATGAAGAATGGCAGAGGAAGATGAAAAAATGTTCTGTCATTTAGAGTAATCTTCAATTGTGTTTGAATATTAGGCTTCCTTATAGAACATCTGGCCCGGAGCTGTCCAATAGAACTTTCTATGGCGATGGAGATGTTCTTTATCTGTGCTGTCCAGTATGGAGACCACTAGCCATGTGTGGTTGTTAAGTACTTGAAATGTGACTAGTGCAAGTAAAAATTTTAATTTTTCTTTTCTTTTTTTTTTAGTTTTTTGTAGAGATAGGGGTCTCACTATGTTGCCCAGGCTGTTCTTGAACTCCTGGCATCAAGCTATCCTCCTGCCTCAGCCTCCCAAAGTACTGGAATTATAGGCGTGAGCCACTGCACCTGGCCCATTTTATTTAATTTTAATCAATTAAAACTTTAGTTCTAAAGATAAATCCTAATTAAAGTTTTAATTTATTAGAATTAAATTTTAATAGCATACATAGCTAGAGGTTACTATATTAGACAACGTGCTTACTGGCCCTTGCCCTCTTAACTTTTTATACCTTCTAACAATATTTACAAGTTGGGGCTATTATAAAATTGTTCAAAAATTGAAGGCATCAATTTCATTAATCTTAAAGATAAGTTTCCTCTGTGAAATTAGATTTGTAATGGGTTAGCAATTCAAGCCTCCTGCTGGGCATGGTGGCTCACGCCTGTAATTTCAACACTTTGGGAGGCTGAGGTGGGCAGATCATCTGAGGTCAGAAGTTTGAGATCAGCCTGGCCAACATGATGAAACCCCATCTCTACTAAAAGTACAAAAAATTAACTGGGTGTGATGGCAGGTGCCTGTAATCCCAGATGCTCCGGAGGCTGAGGCAGGAGAATTGCTTGAATCCAGGAGGCGGAGGCTGTGGTGAACCAAGATCGCACCATTGCACTTCAGCCTCAGCAGCAAGAGTGAAACTCCATCTCAAAAAAAAAAAAAAAAAAAAAAGAGAAAGAAAGAAAGAAATTTAAGCCTCCTTGTATCAAGGCAAGCTTTGTGAGACTAACTTCAATGGAACATTAATTATGTTTAAGCTTTGATTTTTAAAATTTGTATAAATCGTGTGCTTTAGTGGTGATGGTTACACAACGGTGCGCAAGTTCATGCCACTGGACTGTACACGTAGAAATGGCTAAAATGATGAGTTCTATGTTAAATGTGTTTTACCACAGCCAAAAAATTATATGCTTTGGTTTTAAATTTGTCTTGATTGCGATTGACTTTGGTTAAAATTCCCTCTGCCATAGGCCTTGCTGAGGGTCTGGTGTTGCATGTTCTTCGGCGAAGCTGACCTGCCTGAGAAGTACAGCCTTGTCCAGAGCAGGAAGCAGCGGGGCTGGTTCATGAGGAGGGATTCCAGAGCTCTTCAGCGTGACCTGGGAGCTGCCTCTGCCAGAAGACGTGGTTTAACAGGTTCTAAGCGTGGTTTTTGCTTTGCTCTGTTTTGTTTTTTAAACTTGATGGTGAATCCTGAGGTCCCCTTTATGGTTCACACCTTCTTAATGCAGGAAGAGTTACAGGAGTGGCTACTCCTTGAAAGGGGTGAGGCTCTCCCCTCCGCTGTTACTCTCACTCAGGCCCTTTTAAGCTAACCTGTGAGCCTAGCGGCTCCCGTCAGGTATTTGATGAGGGCCCCCAGAAGTGATATTTAAGATGTATCATTAGTCCTGCCGTGTGATCACTGATGAAAATAATGCTCATAGCTCCCAGCACTGGGGCAGAGTCGTGGAGGCCCCTGTCTATGAAAGGTGTGAGGTGTGCCCTGGGGTGTGATGGAGACACTTGGGGTGGGGGGAGTTAGGGAGAGATTACTTCTAGCTGGTAGGAAGGTCTTTCAATACTTAAACATCAGGGGAGCCAAGTTGGTGCTTACAGCTGGAAATCAATTCTAGAGGAACCATGGAAAAAAAGCTTTTCTAGGGAATGGACTTCTAGAATACAGAGACCAAAGACTGGGAAAAGAAATTATTCCTTCCCTTGGTTCTCATCAACTTTTCCCTCTCTCTGCCTCTCCTGCCATCAGCCCCTGTCCCACTTGGAAGGGGTTGCGTCAGGGAAAGGAGAACTCCTCCCTGTTGCCTGTACTTCCACCATCCTAGTGTCACTTATTTGTGTCTTAATTGTTTCATTCTCAATGTCTGTTGGGGCCACAAATTCAACCATGTTAGGTCACATGTTGATGGTCAGTCGATAACTTAATCAGTTACTAAAATACTAGATACCCAAGGAGTGAAAGGTGGGTGAGCATAAGAAACACATTGCTCATGGCACAGCTCTGCCAAAGCCCTACAGAATCCTTTACACATAGGTCTTTGGTTACTAACCCCTGGCACAGAGTTCTGATCTTAAACAAATAATATCTATAATCAAATAGAGCAGTGCAATTTTAAAAAGCACAGATTTTGAGGCTATGCTGAAATCCTGGCCTTGCTATTTGCTGGCTGTGTGACCTCGGTTCCTTGGTCTCACTATGCTTCAGTTCCCCTGTATATAAAGTGGACATAATAATGTCTCCCTCTCATTATTGTGAAGTTGAAATGATATCTCTAAAGTGCCCAGCACAGTACTTAAGGGCCGTTTTTTTCTTCCCAATGAAGAGAAGATTTAATAAAAGTGATATATAAATGCATTTCATTCAACATTTTGTTATAGAAAAAAGGAAGAGACTGATTGCTCTCTGCCAATTCGAACTTCACATATTTTCCCATGATTTGTCTCACAAATGGAGAAGTGTAAGGTTTTATGACTAAATTTTCAGAAATCTATTTCCTGGTTTCTAATTTGAGCCTCCCCAAAGACTGAAGGGATTATACTGCAGATGTACTCAGTTTAGTGCCAGGTGGACTGGTATTGCAGTCAGGTGGATGGAAATAAGACATAGGTGTACTGCTATGAGAGCATTATGTTAAGCAAACACTGGAATAAATTAATTCTCATTTTTTAATAAAAACTAATTGACACAGCAGTGCTGTCAGAATAAATGGGTCGATATTTGGGAAAAACCTTAACCTGTTATAAACAGCATATGTGAGTTAAAGACCAAATGCTAATATTACCACTAATTATGTTTAGTTTCCCAAGAACAAACTCAATATGTAGTTGTTTAAAGGGAGCATTGCTTCCCAATCTCATCTATCAACTGCCTGTGGTTGGATAATCTATGCCTCTGCTGCGTTATTATCTGTTTTATATTGTTTGATTTGAATTGAAATGGCCAACACATTGGGATTTTTTATTTTTTCTTTTGTTTTTTTGAGGCAGGGTCTTATGCCGTTTGCCCAGGCTGGACTATCAGTGGCGCAGTCTCAGCTCCCTGCAGCCTCAACCTCCTGGGCTCAGGTGATTCCCTCACCTCATCCTCCCAAGAATATTTTGTAGAGACAGGGTTTCACCATGTTGCCCAGGCTGGTCTTGAACTCCTGGACTCAAGCAATCTACCTGCTTTGGCCTTCCAAAGTCCTGGGATTACAGGCATGAGCCACCGTGCCTGGCCCCTGATTTTTTCTCTATTTTTACTCACATGGAAATCTGTAATTTACATAAAAAATTTCATAAAAATCTGCAAATTTCAAGTTAAAACATTAAGATGCCAAAATTGGCACAATGAATGATGATATTTTAAAGGTAATATTTAATACTGGGGAAGATGGTAATGTAAATTGATATAAACTTCTTAGAAGTGAGCTTGTGTTATATACCAAGAGCTCAAAAATGTATATAACTGCCTTACGGGAATTCTAGATCTAGAGATAAATCCTAAGGAAATAGTAAAAGGTACATGTACAAGTATGTTTATTAAAGCATTGTTTATAATAGTAAATACTGAAAATAGTGGAAATGTTTGCTATTTGGGAATGTTTACATAAACAATGGCATACTCAAATATGACATTTTAGAAGAACTTTTAGATACATGGAAAACGTAATCTAATGTAGACAGAATTTGCAGTTAAATTCGTTAACAAAACAGATATTACCTACTATGTGCTAGGTAGTATCACCAGTGGGCAAAGTAAAATTTACGTGTCTTCAGAGAACTTATATTGTAGTTGGGGAGGGGCAAAGAGACAGACCATAAATAAAAGCCTTAATAAATAAGTGAATTACATCGTACGTTAGAGAATAACAAGTGCTATAGACGAAAGAAATACTGAACAGGACAAAGGCATTAAGAGTTCTAGAATGGGGCGGTACTGTGATTTTAAGTGGAATAATCCAAATTAGGCCTCATTATAAAGGCAACATTAGAGCAAAGACTTGAAGGAGTGAGGCCACTAGCCACGTGGAGATGTGGAGGGAATAGCCAGTAGAAGGGATACCAGGTAGTATAAGGTAACATCATCTCAATATTGTAAAATATATATGTACATATTTTGTTTGTAGTATATATTTATGAGAAAAACATTTTTAAATTTGTAAAGCTTCCAACATATTTTGATAATATCTCTAAACCAATCCTGTGATTATTTTCATCATCTTCCCTGAAGGGTAATTATTAAGATTTATTAGTGGTAAATTTTATAAAAGCTAAGTAAGTTTCAGTGCCTGTATTCAGATTATATTTGACGGCAGATTTATAGTAAGAAGGGAAGAGAAGTGCAGCGTTTCCCCTATATACCTTTTTCACTGGTACCTACTGACCACTGGTAGAAACCTTAGTTTTTGGAAGAAACAAGATTACAGTTTGCCAGTTTGGGCAGGTCTGTTTGTCTGTCATTTAGCAGTCTCAAAGCAGGTGCTAATAGCAGAAAAGTAAAGTATTTCAAGGAGGATCGGTGAATAAGTGATGTGAATAAACAGTTTCTAATATTCCTCACACCAGACAGTAGAGTTTAAGACTGTTTACTTAAACATTAGGTTACCTTAATTGCACCTATTCTTCCTTAAAAAGTTGTCTAGAAAGAAGTAAATCGCTTTCATTTTTTGAAGTAATATCTACTCAAGTAGACTTTATAACACCTCTTACTTTAGGGTACAAATGTTATTCATCTAATTTTTCAATGAATTTGGTTCCTAACAATAGCAATTTCCCCCTTGTTTAAATTTAATTGGCTTTATATATTTTTCTAACATTTTTTGATTATGTCAGCATTTCCCAACATATTTTTCCCTCCCACCAAAACAGAAAAACCTCAATACATTGCAGCTATGTTTATTTTTTCCTACAAAAATTAAATAGAAATGATTGGCGCTATCAACTGAACAGTATAGTCAACAATCCAGGACAAATTAATTTGCACAGTACCAGAGAGGAAGCAGAATCTATAAGGAAACAGGTTTCTGTTTTGAAGTTCCCAAAGAATATTATAAACAGAAGAGAAAAAGAAGTGAGCTCAGAAATGATTAACACCCATAGTCCGTGCCAAACACACAAAATCTTTTAAGCCAAATTCCTTTTAAAAGTTTGTAGTTGGCCAGCTTGTGGGGAACATAAATAAGGGCAAAGCAGTAATAGTTGATACTTTTAGATCTATAAATAAATACTTTATACATATATATTTAAAACCCTAAACATTTATGGGGTAATTTAAACACTGCTGTCTGATATGTTGTGTGAATAGTCTGCATGTATGCATCATTGTTTAAAAATGCAGGGAAAATTCTTTGAACCGTAGTTTCATATGATGCCCTAGGAGTCAGTGATGGAGGTAATTGGTACATCTTGGAATCAGGGCTTCTGTTTAGTTTTTTAAATGAGTTACTGAGCACTTTCCTGCTTACTTCTTTCTACTATAAATAAGAAATGTATCATCAGGCACTTTTCTTGACACTGAATAATCCAATTTACTCCACATCAAAACTTTGTCTGGTCTTTGAAAAATAATTTCTAGTTTTTAGAATGAGTCTTGTTTTAAGGAGCCTCTTTTTAAAAATTATCTTCTGATGTTGGTTAGGAAGCCTCGTTGGGATGATGAAAAATGAAAGTCTCAATGTGTCATTAAGCATGTAACGTTACAATTGGAACATGAAGGACATAGACTTTGCCTGAACTCAGGAAGGGCACTGTTCTATTATTGACAAACCTGAGAGCAGGCTGGACACTTGAGTTTCCCTCTTACCTGTACTGGCTTCAGTAAGGAGGTTAATTTATACCTATGTCTGTAATCTCTTATGAATTATTTCTACTCTGAAAGATTCGTAGGCAGTAGAATCAGGTTCACAATGCCTTGCAGAGCAAGGAAATGTCACAGCCATTTTGCAGAAAGACAGCTGAGCAGAGGCAGTGTCTTATTGGGTTGGAACTTTAATTTGGACCCCTGGGAGTACTTCCCAGCTTTGTACCACATGGTTCTCACTTTCTTTTCTGTGGATTCAGCCACATGGACATGAGTCCTACATTCTTCCCGCCATGGGAGCATTGGACTTAGCAATTATGTTTGAGTATTATGGTTTTAGTCATCAAATGTCCTGTTTCAGCTGTGGTTTCTCTTAGTGCATGGTCTAAAAAATTTAAAATACCAATATATAATGATAACTAATTGCTTTTAGTATAAAAACTGTTTATGTTTTTGAACCTGAGTTCGGAGTCTGGTAGCCTTGCTCTGTTTGTCACTCTGAAGCAAAGTCCACATTTCAGCTAGGGTTTTACCTTATTTTAACCTTCTTCTTTTTATACTCAGCAACCTGCATGGTTCTTGGCACTCAACAGGTTTTTAGTAATGAAGTGTTTAATGAGGGAGTTGAATTGGTTGAAAAGAATCTATTTATTCAAACTGTAATGCAGTCCACAAATTTGAAGTTTTCTCTTTAGATATAAAAATGCTAAATATCCTACACCACCAGCCCAGCTCTCTCCTCATGCATGTTTTAATACTGGCCACCAAAGAGGAGTGTAATTTATGAATGGAACTTCTGAAGACATCCCTAAGTAACTTTGGACCTCCTAAAGTGAAACTCTTTTCTGTAGAGTTAAAATATATAGAATCTTTTCACCTTTAATTGATTGAAAATGATGGTGCCTGGAACTATTTTTGAGAATAATTTTGATCTAAAGGGAACAAATACATGTGTTTCTTCTGAGTGCTGCTTTTCCATTTTCCTAATGGGCTCTTCACTATTGTTTTGTCTGAATGCAGTTTTTTATTTGTGTTATTCCAGACATGGTCCTACCACAAGCATCTTTAAACCAGACATTAATAGCATAGTTCACAGTCATTACTGCCAGTGCTCAAACACAAATATTGCATTTGTGTTTGCAAAAGCTACACATCAGATGTTAATTAAGTGCATTTGGTTTTTTCTTTCTGCTTAAACAATCTGGCATAAAGAATTTACATCCATATCAGTTCACCATAAGGTCTCAACAATATCTAAATCACCAGCCGTACAGTATATGATAAATACAGTGTTTCCACACAAGAAAATAACAGAATTGTCAGGAAAACATCAGGCCTGTTATATTTTCTATAAAATAATAGCAACAGAATCTCAGTTTCTTTTTCTTTTTGATAAAAAGTATTTAACTAGGAGTAAACACCAATATTTAGAATGATAAATTTTTCATTAAAAAGCACATGGAAAGTGAAATCATACCAAAGATTTTTTTTCCTTGTTTTTAGCTTGCTTCAGGGCGTTGTGACAGTTGTGTTGGAATAAAATTGGAATTTCAGCCTTGCAGTGAGGGGATTCGTGCTGCCACCAGAGCAGCTGAGTGCCAATCTGCAGGAGGAGGGAGTGGAGCGAAACCGCAAACTGAGAAACAAACTTTCACATCAGGTTTCTAATTTTAGAGCAAAAAGTGGAATTACTTTAATTATATGACATTTAACTAGAAATACGATTTGCTGGGATTAATTATCTCTCTCATTTAAGATACCTTCTTAGTAGGTTTAAATTAACATAAAAAATCAAATTCAGAATTTAAATAAGGTCAATGGGACTGCTGGATTTAAACACAGAATTTGATTCAGTATAATTGGATCACTGTATTGGTTTTGACTTGGAAGGATTAAATGGAGGAAATTGGAAAAGTGTGAATTTGGGCAAAAAGAGAAATTTTCTCTTCTTTCTTCTTTCACCCTCCATGCGAGAGAAGTTTCCCTGCCTTGGAGAGGAAACTACTACCCTGATTAGGTCAGAAACATCTCAGATTCATTAACTGCCTCTGTTTATTCACTACTTGAATAAGAAATAGCAATAAAACAAAAATATTGTGTAACTAAAGCTTACTAGAAGGATTTAAAATACATATAATAAGGGCCTATTTGAAAAATGATTATTTTATGTTAAGCATTTCTTATTTTATTTAAAAGCATATAAAAATTATTTCTGTTGTTTAATTTTATTTTACTAGGAAAAAATTAACTTTATGCTTTTGAAGGAATTTTAAAAATAGAAGTTTCATTTTTTTTTTTTTTTTTTTTGAGATGGAGTTTTACTCTTTTTACCCAGGCTGGAGTGCAATGGCGCGATCTCGGCTCACTGCAACCTCCGCCTCCTGGGTTCAGGCAATTCTCCTGCCTCAGCCTCCTGAGTAGCTGGGATTACAGGCACGCGCCACCATGCCCAGCTAATTTTTTTTTGTATTTTTAGTAGAGACGGGGTTTCACCATATTGACCAGGATGGTCTCGATCTCTTGACCTCGTGATCCACCCATCTCGGCCTCCCAAAGTGCTGGGATTACAGGCGTGAGCCACCGCGCCTGGCCTAGAAGTTTCATTTTAATCAAGTAAGTCAGTGTTGGGACACTGAACCATATACATGTAGTATTCTTTATTGACCTCTTGTCCTTAGGGCTTCACATCTACACTTATTCTATCTTTAATAATTTAAATCAGGCAGTGAATTCATTTATAGCAAGAATGATCAACTTTGGAAATTCTATTAACAAGGGGAAGTTATTAGCCATGTGATGGTAAAGGATACCTTGGAATTTGCTGCGGGAGGGATTCGGGAAAAGTCACAGGGCTACAGGGATGGAATGACCTATGTCCTGGGGAGAGCCCCAGGTCCATATGTAGGAATTTCCTTTGAAAGAGCTTGCTCCCCCTGGCTGATGAATTGCATGTGAATATCTGAATGTAACTGGGCATATCAAAGGTATGGGACAGCAAAGTGTAATAGTGAAGCACTAAGGGCCTGGTAAGGATTTTGAATAGTTGTGCTGATGCAATCCCCAGTGCTATATACTCTTCAGCAAAACTTGAGTATAATCCAAATATTTGTTGGAACGATGGTAAAGATATTACCATTCCTTGAGTCAAAATAGGATATGTACACTAGATTTTAGGACATAAGTCTATTTGTAACATTACTTTTTGGGGGGTAGATGAGAGAAAAATGTTTGGATGTTTTCTGTTAATGAATGGCAACATTAGCATTGACAAAAAATTCTAGTTATACTCTGCAATGTTAAAACTGATATAATTCTCAAAGATATTTAGGGTAAGTGATTGGGACGTGAGATGATGAGAGAGAGATGTATTGACTGTTAGGAAATTTAATTTTTATGAAATCAGCATATCAGGAAATACTGTAATCTGATTCATTCCTGCAGAATTCCCAGTAGGAAGAGGCCCAGCCTCGGGAGTTGAAATGTTTCATTATGTACATGTGTGGGAAAAAGATGAAATGTGGTTTCCGTGTGCTGATTTTCTGTAAAACATCTATTAGTATGAGAGTAGCCAGGCTAGGCAACAAAGTCCCCAAACCATCATGGTCTAGGGAAAAGTGAACCCAGAAGGCACTTCGCTGATGGATACTGACATCAGGAGCAATAAGTTTGAAAGTAGCAAGAAAAAGCAATGACAGTAAAATAATGTTGAAATAGTAGCTACGGAATGATCACATGTTAAAGATGAGGTCAGCCCTTTATCCCCCATCAATCCCTGCTTAACTTTGCTTTTAGAAATGTAAGGTTCCCCAAAAACGAGAAAACTGCAAATGTAAGCTTTTTATACCAATGCTAATTTAACCAAGTTGTCCATCTTATAATGTAAACTATAATTAGAGCCATATTATTTGTGTAATATGAGCTGTACCATCCCCAAAGCAAGGAAAAGTGGGACATTTGCCCCTGAGCTCTAGCGTAGCAGGACTCTAGAGTGACAATGGCCATCTCAGTCTCTCGTGGAGCTGGGGATGGAAGAAAGAGGTGCCTCCAACGGTTGTACAAAGAGAAAGGCACGAGGTTTATAAGTATGTGTGAGGGGACTCTTGTGTCTTGTTTGGCGCCAAACCCTGCCAAACTCACATCGTCACAAAACACGAGTCCCTTTGCTCTTCCCAGTTTCAAGGCTGTTTATTAGTTTTTAGTGATCTCTTTCCCTAATCAAGACTGGTTTTGAGATTCATTTTAATCTAATATTAACCTAATTCGATAATGACAGGTGTTTGTTTAGGGGAGAGGGAGTGGTGGGTACAGAGATATGATTTATTCTTGTCTCTGAGATTCTTAGGCCTGGCACTGAATTCCAGCCCCCATGGAGATGGCCTTGGAAATGAATGAAGGCCCAAGGCCTGTTGCTGCTGATGATACTTAGTTCTTAACTGTGCTTTTCTTTCTCTGTTGGTATTTTGGAAAGTTTGAGCTCTTTTAGGAATAAAAGAAAAAAAAAAACCCTTCAGATACTTTTAGAGTAGATAAAGTTATCTGATTATAGCCTAAATACTTCTGTTATGGAAAAAAAAAATTACCTTTAGAAAATTCCGGAGTTGACAGTGAGGAGTATTTGTATTGTTTCTAAATAAAACTGAGTAAAGGAAGTGCCTCCAATTAAAACTGGCTGATGAATAGAATCTTCAAAACAAGGCTTTTGTTCTGCCTGATTAACATGCTTTTCTAATGATTTAGGTGTTGGTACCATCCCGTATGTGATGAACTGCAACATTACCATAGATTCTCAAGACGTGTATACGGGAAGAGAGATCGCTAGTGCCATTCGGGGCTCAAATGCAAAGGGACTGAAGGCTGTCCAAGTGATGGCTTTTCCCCACAAGGGAAAGATTGAAATAGCCTGCAATGTGGAGAGTTTTGATGACCAAGAAGCTGCAGAAATCTCAGAAGAGTTCCGATATGTGTCTTACAGTATCCTTGGTGACCAGTTTTCTTACGTGTCTCCTCATGACTTAGAAGCTCAAGTTAAAAAGTTGGCAAGTGATCATGGAACTGGTACTAAAGGGAGAGCATTAGTTGGATTTACACCCCAAGAGTGCAAGAACTGTGCTGAATATGCTATAAAGGAAAATATTGGGGAATTCTGGAAGATTTGGGGAGGTGTTTTCATGTGATCCAATCTAAGCCTTTACTGAAATTTTATGGAAAATTATTAGTCATTACAAAATTTTCTTTTGGGCAGTGACAATGTGAAAAAACTACAAAGAGCTTAGTTGCAGCTGTGTATTGAAAAACTGGAAGCATTCTTTGCTCAACAACAGCAAATGTTCACGGGTTATCCGTAATTGCCTTCTATTTCCAGTCATCCCTACAGCAGAGAGAATCTACTTTGTATTATGTGCTAGTAACTTGGGAGAATTAGAAGCTATTCTGAATCAACTGGGTAAATGGCCATGGTTTCTGAACCATCTTTCATTGAAAAAAAGAATGGACTTGATTGGATTTTCCTGAATGAACTCTAAAGTTCCATATTCAACTCTCATTTTTTGAGCAATTACTATTTTATTGTTTTTGCTTATTTTTTTGAGACAGGGTCTCACTCTGCCACCCAAGCTGGTGTGCAGTGGTGCAATCATGGATCACTGCAGCCTCTAACTCCTGGGCTTAGGCAGTCCTCCAACCTCAGCTTCCCAAGTAGCTGGGACTACAGGCACACACCACCATGCCCAGCTAAGTTGTGTATTTTTTGTAGAGACATGGTTTGACTGTGTTGCTCAGGCTGGTCTTGAACTCCTGGCTAATCTTTTTTTTAATATGTGCATTTAAAAAAATCAAGACTGGATAGAGTGGTTCACACCCATAATCCCAACACCTTGGGAAGCCAAGGCAGGCAGATCACTTGAACCTAGCAGTTTGAGACCAAATTCAAACTGGGCAACATGACAAAACCCCGACTCTACAATAACTACAAAAATTAGCCAGGCATGGGTGTGCACACCTGTAGTAGCTACTTGGAAGGGTGAGGTCGAGGGATGACCTGAGCCTGGGAGGTCAAGGCCAGATCATGCAGTGAGCCATGATTGTGCCACTGCACTCCAGCCTAGGTAACAGAATTAAGACTCTGTCTCAGAAAAAAAAAAAAAAAAGGCACTAAGTGACTAAAAAATGGGAGGGTTATAAAATATAATCTCTCTTTCAAAGCATGAATGTTCATTCTTGCCTTGCTACTTTTAGGATGATCTGCTGTTCATAAACCGATACAGAATTTTGAAATGTTTATATAGGGAGATGGCATGACAGTGTTGGGCATGACTTCAAGGAAGTACTTGTTCTTTTGGAATTTAGATGGAAAGTCTAAAGGTTTAGAGAATATATTGTTTTTGAGCAAAGAGAAGGATATTGGTAGAAGAACTTTTATTTGAAAGAAATTAAAATTTGTAGCCCTTTTGTGAACTAAAAGAAGCTGTTTGTCAACAATGGCAATTTAAATTAAATCCTTAGTATTTATAATGTTCTAGTATCA